TCTGAAGACAGATGCAGACTTCAAGCACTGTGGCAATTTGGACCCATGGTCACTTTGGTTGGTATGGGGCGGCTCCTCAACATGTACCCTCCAGCAATCCAAATTTACCCTCTGTAAATCTTGGACAAAGTTCATATCCAGCTCCACACTGATTCTCCTGTGGGTCCATGGCATTGAGACTAGAAGTGGTGAGGCAGACACTGATTCCAATTTGTCCTCACTGGTCCCAGTTTTCTCACAGGTCTGTCTGTCTCTACATCCAGATTTCCTTTGTAACTTCTGTCTGGAGTAGTTAATGGCAAGCTGTTCAAGGAAGCTACACATTTCCAGGGAAGAGGATGGTGGAAACAAAGGAGGGCCAACAAACCTACTTTAAGGTCATGGGCTGTGGGTTATGGAAGGAAAAATAGCCAAGAATTGAGAGGGTTAAAGTTGGAGTCATGTCTTCAAGGATCAGCCAGGTTTTAGTTAGAGTAAGAAGGTGGAGATCCAATTCAGAAACTCTATAGGAGAGTTTGCTAAGAACAGATTGGGAGTTCCAGAGGGCATAGTGGAGGGGAGAGGTTGTAATGGGACTTAAGCCAGTTTAAGAGATGTACCAAGTGATATGAGGGTTAGTGCCTGGGTGACAAGGAATGGTTTGGAGGTCTGTTGCTATTAGCTGCTGTTGAGCTGGCCTCCAACTTATGGCGTCCTCATGCACAATGGAACATAACACTGCTCTGTCCTGCACCATGCCCATGATCGGCTGCAAACTGGACCATTGTGATCCTCAGGGTTTTCACTGGTTGATTCTTGGAAGTTGATCTCCAGGCCTTTCTCCTTAGACTGTCTTAGTCTAGAAGCACCTGTCTGAAACAGTCTGAAACCTGTCCAGCATCACAGCAACATATAAGCCTCCAAAGACAGATGGGTGACTCTGTATGAGAAGCATTAGCAGGAAAGCAAACCTAGGTCATCCACATGGAAGGTGAGGTTTCTACCCCTTTTGGAGGTCTAAAACCAAACCAAACTCACTGCCATAGAGTTGATGCTGACTCATAACGACCCCCATTGGGTTTCCAAGGCTGTAAATCTTCACGGGATTCTAAGGGAGTAGATTGCCTCATCTTCCTCCCACAGAGCAGCTGGTGAGTTGCAACCATTGACCTGTTTAGCAGCCAAATGCCTTACCCACTATGCCACCAAAGCTCCTTTCTTGGAGGTTTAGTGATCATTAATGAAAATCTTGATGTGAGGCATGATGATATTGTTTTTCATGGTCTCTGGCCTTATTGAGGGAGGAGGAATTGGTCTCATATCTCATAGCCCCCTTTTCAGGCTGGGTCTATAAGGCAGTTTATAGCTCCCCTGTCCTGCAATGCCCTGAGCCTGGGATAGAAGCATCCTCAGAGCATGCAGAGCTCTGGGACTTCTCTCAAACCCCGTTGAGAGCTGTATCAAGGCCAGGGTGGAGTGTCAAAAAACAAAAACAAAAACAAAAAAAAACTGGCGCCCTAAAGCAATGCTTCTAAAAGTGCAGTCCCCGGCCAAGAATCTGCAGTCCCCAGACAAGCATCTCCTGAGAACATGTTAGAAATGTAGATTCTCAGGGCCCCACCAGTTCTACTCAATCAGCAACTCCAGGGGTGGTGTCCAGCAATCTGAGTTTTAACCGGTCTTCCAGATAATTCTATTGCACACTAATGTTTAAGACACACTATTCCAAAAGAATTCAAAAAACATTTTCTTAAAGATTAGAATGAATGTTCACTTTGGTTCTTATGAATATGCAAATACAGAGTTTTAAAAATGAAAGAGACTATTTTAAGTCTCTAACTTTAAAAAATTATTATTGTTTTCAAGTATATAATCTGGCCCTAAGGTCCCTCGGTGGCACAAATGGTTAGCTTTCAACTACTAACCTAAAGATTGGGAGTTTAAATCCACCTCCCAGTGGGAGCTCTGGTAGCATAGTGCTTAAGGCACTTGACTGCTAACCAGAAGGCTGGTGGTTAAACCCACCAGCCACTCCTAGAAAGGAAGATAGGGCAATCTACTTCCATAGTGATACTGCCTCAGAAACCCAAGGAGGGGTCGCTATGAGTTGGGTCCGACTTGATGGCATATAACAACAACAACAACAGTGGTGCCTGGTAAAGAGGGCCTGATGATCTGCTTCCACAAAGATTGTGTCCAGGAAAACCCTATGGAGCACAGTTCTACTCTAATGCATGAGGTATCCATGAGTCAGAATTCACTCCATCACAACAGGTTTGGTTGTTGTTTAATCTGGCCCTGCACTTTATATGTGAAGCTTCCAAGCTGCAGAGAAGGCAAGAGACTTGTCCAAGTCTTCTCGGCAGGACTGAAATTACAACTCCAAATAACTCAAATACTGTTTGTTTGGTGCTGTCCAGTCAATTCTGACTCATAGCAACTCCGTGTGACAGACCAGAGCTGCCACAGGATTTTCTTTGCTATAATCTTAACAGAAGCAGATGGCCAGGGCTTTCTCCCTCTGAGCACTGGGAGAATCCCAACCATCAGCCTTTCAGTTAGCAGCTTAGTACTCAACCACTGCACCACCAAATGCATCTCAAAATAACCATAGCCAAAAAACAGAACAGAACACAAAACCCCAAAGGTGCAGCCTTTCTATTCTTTTCAGATAGCTTAGTATCGCCCTTAATGTGATGTCTACCACTTAGCTAGAGCAAGACAGTGTGCCTTATTCCCACTCCCTCATAGTTCCTTTAACGTTTGTTTTGTTCTTAGGATTGCAGAGGTGCAGCTTCTTAAGGCACACTCAGAGCGTCTGAGGAATGCAGCAGTTTCGGAATAAACAGGAGACTTTTCTGCAGCCTGATAAATCTACATGTGTAGAAATGCTGTTCTGGCTTTTGCTATTTCAACTCCACTTGGCCTCTGGGGAGAGAAAGCCGAACTCCGCGCGCGCTGGAGCCCCAGCTCCCTCTGCTTCTGGAAAGGAGATTTAGCCTTAATTTTTGTGACAGATGGAGTTGATAGTCTCTCCACGAAAAGGGGAGGGGGAAAAAAAGCGCCAGTTTTTGACAGGCAGCAGATACCCGATGCCTCTGGTGGCCATTGGCTGTGTTGCGCCACCGTTAAGGTCGCTCGCACACTTCTCAGTCAGGGTTACAGCGGCTTCACTCTGGGCGGCTTCGCAATGCGACCTCTCCCTGGTAAGTCAGCAGTTTAAAGTGAGTGAGGCATTGAAACGTACATTTAAACATAAATCTTGATGTACGCCACTTTATCTCCCTCCTCTGTGTTGTGACTGCGGCCAAACAGTGCTCCATAACCGTGGAGATGTGTAAAACTGTTATTCTCATTACCGACCTATTACGAAATTAATTCAATTGGTGGAATTTCTTTCTAGCAGTTGAAAACTGATGCCTAGCACAAGGGCCCTTCCTGCCAGAGCTGCGAGCTGGTATAGGGGGTTTATGAATATCAACATCCCTCTACCAAAAGCGTGAGCACAGGCGCCATAGTTAAAGAACTTGACAGTTGGAACCCACCAGCCGCTCTGCTTGAGAAAGAGGTGGCAGTGTGTTTCTGTAAAGATTTACAGCCTTGAAAACCCTGTGTGGGAAGTTCTACTTTGTCCGAAAGGGTCACCGTGAGTCCGACTCAACTGTACAGCACTGTTTTGATTTTTTCATGTTTGGTTCTTTCAGGTGTGTTTTCTTTTGTTTTTTAAGTTGTCAAAGTCCCACCTTCGATTATCTGAGTCCTCCCTCCCCGCCATGTGAAAACTGAAAAACTAAACTCTGAACCCAGTGTGAGTCAGAGATGGGGGGCCAGGGAGAACTCGTAAAACCAGCAAAAGCAAAGAACATAAGGGGAAAAAGTACATAAAACAAAAAGGTCCAAGCCGAGCCGGATACAAACAGCTGCCGCTAAACCCTGCACGCTGGTTCAGAGCGCAAGCAGGAGCTCCCACTCCAAGCCTCCTTAAGAGTGGGAGGAGCTCCCGGGCCTCTGTCAGACTCCTTAAGCCTTTTCCTTTCAAGCCCTGAATGCCTGAATGTGAGCTGCCCACCACCCTCCCCGCCCTCCCCCACTCCGCAACCCCACTCCAGCGACTCGTAAAAAAAAAAAAAAAAAAAGTTTCAACAACAACAGGCAGGACCAATAGTATCTCGAAAGTCGGGCAAGGGGGCCGAGCAAAGGCGAAAGAGAGTGGAGAAAGGAGAAAGCGGGGAGGCTCAGAGCGCGCGGGGCAGGGGCCGACGAGCTGGAAGAGCGTTGCTAATGTTTTTGTTTGTTTGCTTTTCCATGCATGCATAATGAGGGGGCACCGCGGCACCACGCGGGGGCTCACGGCCCACTTTTGTATTTAAAGCCTCGCTGAGAGCGAGTCCGCCGCCGGGCTCCGCGGATCCGTTCCCGGGGCTCCTTGTCACCCGAGAAGCTGCGGCAGCCGCTGCGGAGAAAAACCCGGGAGCCGCTCTCTGGCCGCGCAGAGCTCCTTGTTTTCCCCGCGCCCCCCGGAAAGGACTCCCGGTAGCCGGCCGAGGCCGGGGTCGCCGCGAGCGGAGGGGGAGGGGAACAGCCGGGCCGCGGGAAGGCGGGCTGCGCACAGACGCCGGGCCGGGAAGCGGCGCGATGCGAGAACCCGCGGCAGCGGCGCAGCGCTGAGCCGGGAGGAAGGAGCCGCTGCGGCCGCAGCACCAGCTACCCGCCTGGGCGCGCCGGCCGCACAACGGATCTGCAGGCGCGGAGCAAGATGTCCTTGCGGCGCCGCGCGGTCCTGCAGCCCCGCGGCGGCCCCGCGCCCTGCAGTCCCCCGGTGCCGCTGTGAGCGCCTCCCGCCAGCGCCGGGGCCGAGTCGGAGGGCTTTCGGGGTAGAGCAGGATTGTTGGTGGCTGTGCCTTTCTAGAAAGGCCCGCAGTCCTCGAGTCGACTTTCTGCAATCAGCGGGACACCAGGCAGCGGCGCGAATGGATTTATGAAGACACTCATGCAAGAAGTTAGCAGGACTTGGACAAACTTTTCCACCGGCTCCACGTCCGCGGCTCCCCGCGCCTCGTCTCCTTTCCCCTCCTCACCCGGCGGCCGCCGCTGCCCGCGATGGTGGCAAGGCTGCTGGGCGGCGGCGGCGGGGCCCGCGGGGGGACCGTGCCGGGAGCCTGGCTTTGCCTGATGGCGCTGCTGCAGCTGCTGGGCTCGGCGCCGCAGGGCTCGGGGCTGGCGCACGGCCGCCGCCTCATCTGCTGGCAGGCGCTGTTGCAGTGCCAGGGGGAGCCGGAGTGCAGCTACGCCTACAACCAGTACGCCGAGGCGTGCGCGCCGGTGCTGGCGCAGCGCAGCGGGGGCGACGCGCCGGGGGCCGCCGCCGCCGCCGCCTTCCCGGCCTCTGCCGCCTCTTTCTCGTCACGCTGGCGCTGCCCTAGCCACTGCATCTCTGCCCTCATTCAGCTCAACCACACGCGCCGCGGGCCCGCCCTGGAAGACTGTGACTGCGCTCAGGACGAGAACTGCAAGTCCACCAAGCGCGCCATTGAGCCGTGCTTACCCCGAACAAGCGGCGGCGGCGGCGCGGGCGGCCCGGGCGCGGGCGGGGTCATGGGCTGCACGGAGGCCCGGCGGCGCTGCGACCGCGACAGCCGCTGCAACCTGGCGCTAAGCCGCTATCTGACCTACTGCGGTAAGCTCTTCAACGGGCTGCGCTGCACCGACGAGTGCCGCACAGTCATCGAGGACATGCTGGCCGTGCCCAAGGCGGCGCTGCTCAACGACTGCGTGTGCGACGGCCTTGAGCGGCCCATCTGTGAGTCGGTCAAGGAGAACATGGACCGCCTGTGCTTCGGCGCCGAGATAGGCAACGGCCAGGGCAGCAGCGGCTCGGACGGGGGCCTGGACGATTACTACGACGAGGACTACGATGACGAGCAGCGCGCTGGGGGTGCAGGCGGCGAACAGCCGCTGGACGACGACGATGGCGTCCCACACCCACCGCGCCCGGGTGGCGGCGCTGTTGCGGCTGGAGGCCACGGGGACCTACCCTACGGGCCCGGGCGCCGGAGCGGCGGAGGCCGCTCGGCGCCCCAAGACGCTTGGACCCCGCTTGCCTCCATCTTGCTGTTGCTCCTGTGGCCACTCTTTTAGCCCTCACGCCCCCGGCGGATGACTGCGGGAGGGCCCGGGCCCTGCGCCGGTGCGCGCTCCCCAGCTTGCTCACGCGGCCGGGCACCTGTGGCCGCGGCTAGTCACACGGCTTGGGGACGGGTAGAGGGGACAGTTGGGGATACTTGCCGAAACTTTATCGAAATAGACTCTGCCTAGCTGGTTTCCCTGCCCCGAGTCTTGGCACGTTCCCCCTCTCCTTTGCCGAGCCTGAGTTCTTGGACGTCCTCCACACCCCCATTCCAGGCTCCAGAAAGTCCCAACTTGTCTCCCCTTGAAAATACCGGCCTAGCTGTAGATTTCAGGACGAATGTGGTGAAATGGGCGTTGGGGGGAGGGTGGACAGAATCGTAGCTCTGAACTTACATGGGAGGGTGCTGACCAGCTGGGCCTTAAGAGTTTTAAGTTCTCAAGGGACTGGCCTTGGAACCAGAAGACTTGAAGCAAGATTTATTTTGCAAAAGGGCTGTCTTCTTAGCATTTTTCCTATGAGGGGGGGGAAAAAAAAAACAAACAAACACCGGTATAAATCCTTATTGATTGACCAGAGGTGGCTAGTGAGGACACTGCAATCGTGAGTAAATAGATTCAAGTCCCACTTACCGATTGTTTCGTTTACACTTGATATCAGCGCCCAGAATTCTCAGTAACATTGGAGGGGGAAAGGGGTGCTTGCCTTAAGGGTGGGTGGCAGGGGGCTAATATTCTTGAATTAAGTTTTGGATAACTTTCAGCCTTTGACCTTGATTTCATTCCTACCACTCTGATCTTAAGATAGGGGTCAAAAAATGCTGACCTAAAAGAATTACTAGTGGTGTCGAACAATGCAACGTTTTTATTTAAAAGAGCTCTGGCTTGTCATCTATGAAAGCCTCTTTATGATGTTTGTTTTGTTGTCATTTTTGTTCTTTACATCAAGAAATTGTATGTACAAATATGCAGAGAAATTATATTGCCTCTGCTGCTATCAGGGTGCTAAGCTCTGGTAAATCTTATATAAAATGTATTTAAAACTGGGATTATTACCAGTTGCTGTACTTTGTATATAGAATTTTTATAAATTGTATGCTTCAGAAATAATTTATTTTTAAAAAGACTTTAAAAGTTATAAATCTACATCCATGTTACACTTTAACCCCACCCCCCACCCTGAAATGTATAGAATCCATTTGCCACCAGGAAGCCAAACCACAGTCCCTTGGGAAGGATGCTTTATCTGGAACAGTCTTAAGTGTACAGTGTATTTTATAGATTTGAAGTTAACATTCTTATTTTCAAGAGAATTTATGGACATTGTAGAAATGTATAAATGCATTTCCAAACTGCCTTAAACATTGTATTTTTATAGACATTTAAAAAAAAAAGTCCTATGTTTTAAATAACTATGGTTTTGTGTATTTTTTGGTTATTTGTTTTATTATAATGTGTACATCAGTAAAGAGTTTTAAATAATGAATATGGTGTAGTTACTTTCCAGACTTAACATTGTGGTTAACCCAACAATATGTGAGGAGAGTGGTGAAAGGGAGGCACTGGTAATCTATCAACCATCAACTGAAATTATAATACAGTACAAGACAAGAAATAAGGGCTGTTATTTCTTCCTCTAATTTGATGAACAATTAGACATCTGTAAATGAGGCAGTTAAAAAGGTATAATTGACCGGCCTCCATTGACTTTTACATTTGTTGAGATAAGTCACATACATAGTGTTTCCTCTACATAATTTGGATAACCCAGACATCTCACTTTCCCCACCCCCTTTTCCACTGGTGACCCCGGCCACCCACACCCCACACCCTCAGGAGTGTCTTCTCTGGCTACTAGACATTCTCTTACAATCAAACATGCCAATAACATCTGTTACCAATAGGGCTTAGGAAACCTACAAGACTTACGACTTCAAAGTCATTTTCACACTTTTGGTGAAAAAGTACAAAATTTTGTTAGAAAACATTCAGGCGGGCAAAAGTAAACACACTGGGGAGAGGAACAATTACCAGGACTTGTAATATTGTTGTGAGGAGTTGTTTAGCAGCAGGCTGAAGGCTGGGTCCCTGCCAGAGCTACTGATCTACACTCAAACGCCCTTAGATAAATAATTACACTCTTAAGCTGTGTCGAGTGCTGATACACTTGACCTTGTAAATAGAAATGTTTGCAGTAGGAATAAACTCCGGCATTGGAAAATCTTTTAAACATTAACACAAAAGAGAGCACTCTGTCCTCTGGGGATTTGAGCTTGAACCTCGCCAAGCTAGGCACTTGCAAGGGGGAAAAAAATGTTTATTTATCTTCTATTCCTGGTGTTTATTTAAAGCTTTTCATTTTAAACGCGGTGATTGGAAGGCAAGTCAGGAGTTTAAAAGTCACCACAAATAAACTTTGTCTGAGGGGTCGACAGATTAGCAAGATCTCATGTCTCTTTATTTGATATTAACATGTGCTGAGAAAACATAACCAGATTTCTCTGCTGCCTAAAGTAATTAACAAAGCTATGCCCCCTTCCAACTTCCTCTACCCGCTGCCACCCCCTACTTTCTAGGTTTCTTTAGCCTTTAACTCCCTCTTTTCCCAGCTTTTATGGAGTGACTGGAGGCACTTGTTTGTGGACCTAAAACCAAGATTTGTATATGCATTGCATATAAGATAGTATCAAACAAGTATCTATGAGGATGGTGTGTGGCTGGAATCTTGAGTCACCTGAATGGTTGACTAAACATATTGTTAAAACAAAGCTGAAAGCGTTGTTTCTTTGAGAAGAGAACAAAGCGTATTCGGAGAGACTTGTAAATGAAAATGAGCTTTCTTTACAAAACGACTAGTTAGCAATTCTTCCGGCTTCATCCTTAAATATATTTAAATCATCTCCATCTCATGTTATTTTAACACGTTAGTGGCTGAAAGTTAAATCTTTGTCCCAGAGAAAGGCCCAGTTTTTCCCCAGTAAGAAGTAAAAGGCATTAGCACTGGAAAAGGCCTGATAATTAACTGCTACAATAAACTCATGACTTGATTTTACAGGGTCCTGTCAAAAGCATCTGCCTAGAATAAATCAACACCACTCACTCTGGGAGAGAGAGGACATGAGGCTTTATGCTTGCTTCCTTGAAGAAAGTGAACATTGATCGGTGGTTCATTTTAATTTAAACAATTACATACAGGACCTTGAGACCCCTGTCACCCCACTACAAAAGTAGCAGATTCTAGAACAGTTTTTTGGAGGATCTTAGGGCAAAAGGCTGTTGGTTATGGGATCGTGTGTTGCCATTTGCTCCTAGGCAAAAAGCATTTTTACAGATGTTGGCATCTGTAATACCTCACACTCTCTAGGGAGCCTTTTGGAATTTGGGGCATTTGGCAGTCTCAGATATCTCACAGAGAATGCCCGGAAGTGCCATTAGTGAGAGGGAAGGTATCTCTGGGTTTTCCTGAGGAGTCTTAAAAGTTGACCCCCTTCTAACAGAAGTCTTACAGGGAGAAAGGAACTCCTTTTGTATTTCATGTAAAATTATGTGTCCTCACAGTCTTTTTCATTTCCCCAGTTAGCAGGTTTGAATTCTCAGTGACAGTTTATTTGTCTTTGGAGGCACTTCAGTGACAAATGTTTAAGGGAGTGTGGGACAATGGTCAAGAACAAGGAGGCAGTTCATTGAACTGACAGTGACCATACAGTAAATAGAAGGAGGTTCAAGCTTCACTGCTCACCCAAGCACACAGCAAAGCTTTTGTATATAATCACAATGGACATAACATAAGGTCTCTGTTTATTTTTAACAATATCTAGCAATGTATGCGATCAATACGCATATGTGAAGTGGAAAAATAGCGTAGGGAAGGAAATCTCTGCACTAAGTAGCAAGTCATCCAGTACTTGGGCAGCACTGTTATAAATGCCCATAAGGAAGGAAGCAGCCCATGGGCCAAATGCCACAAATAAAAGGAGCTGCCACTCTCTGAAACATGCGGGGCAATGGAGTCCATCCATATGGGTGAAAACCCAGGTCTCTACCTCGAAGATTCAAGAGAAATCACATGGGATGGGGTTTCCTTTCTTCACCACCCTTCTTATCCACACCCTCACTCCACTCCACCCCAACAATGTTATATTGTTACTGTTTTTAGTTGCTGACAAGTCAATTCTGACTCATGGTGACCCCATGTGACAGACTAGAACTGCCTTTGCCTTTGCCTTTGCTGTAATCTTTATGGAAGCAGATTATCAGGTCTTTTTCTGTGGAGCCACTGAGTGCGTTTGAATAACCAACCTTTCATTTAGCAGCTGAGCACCTGTTTGTGCCTCCTTCCAACGTTTTGCAGTATAGAGGAAAACTCATGGTAACTTCCGTGTGTGCAGCTAAGAACAGTTCCATTGGATTTTCACGGCTATGACCTTTCAGAAGCAGATCAGCAGACCTGTCTTCCAAGGCACCTCTACTACCAACCTTTCAACTGGTAGTAGAGTGCTCAACAATTTGTGCCACTCAGGGTTGGAATTAACTCAATGGCAAGGAACAACGTGAACAACATAGACCAAAAGAGAACAAAATCGTCATAAGAGTGTTCAGAAACATCAAACAGAATATTAATACCTTCATATTTCTGAGCTTCGGCTTCGCATTATTAGCTCTTCTAATAGAAGCTCTTCTGTAGAAGTTCTCTTACGTAACTTCATGGATCACTTTTCGAACTTGTAAAAGGAAAAACATATATTTTTTGCTTTCAACCTCTCACACCAGGGAACATGAGAAACTTTGTCAATTGACTGTGTTTCTTCCAGCTACCCAGGGCAAGGTTTTAGGGGGACATCATCTTCCAAATGCCTTATGACCAGAGAGAGTAGTTCTAGCAGGGTTGAGTTTCCAGTAGCTCTCACTGCCTTGCGAGTTAAGTAAAGTTGGACATTTACTGTATTCGGCTTAAGGGATTGCCTCTGGTAGACAGTTGAAAAGGGTCACCCTTGACTCTCTGAATGACATAAGTAATGTGCTATTAGCATAAATACCTTCTAAGGCATCCATTTAATCAATTTCTTAAATAACAGAATGATCTACTACAAAATAGTGGACTGTATACACTATATTTTGGCACAAAGATGGTCATTCTCCCACTAGTAACCAGGGGCTCTAAATAAATGATTTCAACAATGTTTTATTAAAGGACGACAAGAGCCCTCGAGCTGCATTAATCGGGGAGAAGTCGA